TCCGTTTCCACGGCGCGCTCGAGAAGCAGAGGAGCACCAGACGCCGGACGTGCCACCCGTGCAGGCCTCGAGGGGCGGGTACGACATCAAGCTGGCACTGGCCTCCGTGCCCAAGCGAAGACAGTCGCGTGGAGGTGGACAGCGACCAAGCCGCCCGACAACTGGTCGAGCCCTCCAAGAAGCTGCAACTCCAAGGCCGTCGAGGCTGCTCCGGCCTTCCCGCGTACTCGCACGGGCTCCGACGGTCTGCCCGCAGCGCGCCGTCCTGGCTGATCTGCTGGCGACACTCTTTTTCGCGTCGGCGGCTGGGCAGAGTGACTGCGCTGGCGGAAGAGCACCATCAGGACATGCGAATGCTAGTTAAGCAGCAATGCACGGGGGAGGGAGGAGAGACGCCCGGCGCGGGCAAGAGGGAGACGGAAGCCGGGCCCGCGCAGGGCGAAGCCAGGTGGCGGCGCGGGGGCTGCTGGCGACAAACACTCACCAGCCTCGCAAAGCTGGAGGAGTCACTTCGCTAATTGGTTCTTCCTGCGTCGCAGCATCGACGTACACGACTGGAAATTCCACCGCCTCACTGGCACACCCAGGCCATCGAGGCTGCACAACACCGCCCCGCGACGCACACCTGGATGCATCCAGACGCCACCAAGGGCCGACACGGGAGAGCCGTGCACTGATAACGCCATTCTGGGAATGGTGCGCAGGATCTCGCCACCCGCGACCACTGGAGCTGGAGCTCGTCCAACCATACTCTGGACGCAACGGCGAATCTTGCCCCAACCAGAATCAGGACCACAACGTCCTCCCAACACAGATCTACAACAAGGCCGATCTCGAGAAGGCAGAGCGCAACATGCATTGCATTCGGCGAACATCTGAGCCGGCACCGACGGGCCTTCTCTGCACCGACCAGCACTGCCAAGTACCGTGCGACACAAATGAGAACCTGCATAGAATCAGCGTGCTACCATGAGGAAAGCGTACTAAAGAACGACGGGGATATTCCGGCCGTGGCGAGCAAGCCTCTGCCACGACCGGGCTCCAAGCCCTAATTCTCAAGGAGCGGCCCGAACGCCCGAGCCCCTTCTGAGCCCAAAGCAGTCCTTCTTTCAGCGCGTTGACTGCGACAACCCATAAAACGCTGCTGCTGCATTGAAATATCCCACCGCCGAGGCCTGGCGCACTGCCAACAACACCGTCTCCCAGACCCATCCCCTCACCTTTGATCTCCCTCGGCTGCACTGCTCCTCGGCCCCTTTTTCTCACGCACAAGCCAAGGCAACACTGGCGGCACTGCGTGGTGTCCGCGACACGCGATTCGCCGAGCGCCAGCGCTGGCACCGCCGACACCGGCGCAACATTCAACAAGACCCACGCCAGGTCTAAGCATGGAATCTAAAACGATACCGACTCGGGCGACAGCAACACCGGAAGCCGCACGTCTCAGTGACAGCCATATGCAATACAAATCCACCACGGGGGCAAGACACGGAGCACCAGCATCCGACGGCAGCACCAGCTCAAACGACGGAGCCACGCACACCAATCATGGCGGCGCCCACGTTGCAGCAGACCAGGCCAACCAGCTCTAGACCAACCAGGCCGAGACGACGCAGGAGGCTCGCACCGACGATAACGCGCAGCTCAAATACCAACCATACGGCGGTACCCAGGACCGCATCGCCATCGAAGGTTCGAATTACGTGTCCTCATCATACGCCATGCATGCTCGCAGAACCCAGGGCCACAGCGACAGTCTGCGGCGAGACCATCACCAACTCCGAGGCCGAGCGCTACACCGACGGCGGGACAAAATTCGCAGGTGGCCCACCACGCCACCGAAAAACCGACAACCTGCCGATGGCGGCATCGAGCAGACACACAAGAGTTCCAAACTGCCTGGGTGTGCGGTTTCACAGGAGCCGTGAAGGGACAACACACCACCAGCTTGCACCAGAGGCAGATGTGTCACATCGCCAGTTTTATGCGGGGAAGCTATGTGTTCATATCCGCTGCGTCTTGGACTTTTTGGGAAGGGGCGTGAGAAGGCCGAACCGCAGTGGATGTGGATAAGCATCTGATAGCTAACGGCCACATGCTTATCCATATCGACTTCGCCTCGGGTGTCTGGGGAAAGAGGCTTCCGAAATTCCAACACGCACTGAATATGAATGCAAATCTCGACCGCATCCTGAACTCCATGGATGACCCTGCCTGACCGCTGCGGTCTGGCCGGATCCCTGGCCAGCCGAGCGACAGACGTCGCCCGCCGAAGAGCAATGACCAGCAGCTCCTCTCCTCCATCCTGTGAGAAAACCGCTGTCTTCTAAGCAACCCTCCGCCATCTTAGAAGGCCGACCCAACCGCGCCACCGCCCTGGGCGCGCCGCCCGCCACCCCGTCTAGAGAACTCTCGGCAAAGCCAGGCCGCTGGAAAGAACCCCGAAGCGAGAACACCTTCCATGAGGCAAGATAAATCTGACAGAACAGGCCATAAACATTCAAACACATACCCAACTTGAGCGTGGCCTCCCCTAAGGCGGGCGCAGGAATCTCGCGACAACACGGTTCATTCTCAAGAATTGGGCGCGGCCAAACAAATCCTTTCGTTGACGAGCCACTGCCGTGACAGCCCCCCGGCCCCTGCCATGGATCCTCACTGCCCACGCTTTGGAGCGAGGTGCGGGACCGCCACGGAAGGGGCCGGTTCGTCAAATGGGCCGGTCGGGGGCGCACCTGCGAACCCACATGATTATCCTCTCCGATCTGTTCTTCAAAGCGCGACCATAGAGGTCCCAACCGCTTCCTCGCGTTTGCCTCCTGAATCCCTTTTTGATGGCGCGCGGGCCCGACAACGGGCCCCAGAGGCCCAGATCGGGGAAACACCGCCGGGATTGAGAACACACACATCGTCGGAGGTCTGCCAAGAGAAGGGCGCCCAGGCGGTGGACGGGAGACTGGGGGGTGAGATCGGAACGAAGCGGAGAACCCCCATCGGGAGATCGGCTTCGATCGGCGAAAATGTTCCACTGCTCCGCTCGAATTTGGGCCTGTGGGCCCCGGGTATGGTCCTGTGGAAACTTTGTTTGGTCCTTGCGCGTCGTTCCCCCTGCCCTGCAGGACGCGCGCGCGCGGGGTGAAAACGCTCACTCCACTACTCCGCTCGGGTTTGGGCCAGTGGAACCCGGGTATCATCCTGTGGAACTTTTACTTGGTCCTTGCGCGCCGGTCCCGGGGACCTGCCAGGGAGAGCGCGCGGGGGGCGAAAATGCTCCACTGCTCCGCTGCTCAGCTCGGGTTTGGGCCTGTGGAGCTCGGGTGCGGTCCTGTGGAGCCTTTGTTTGATCCTTGCGCGTCGGCCCCCAAGCCCTGTCGGGGCGCGCGCGCGGGGCGACAATGTGCCACTGCTCCGCTGCTCCGCTGCTCCGCTCGAATCTGTTTGGGCCTGCGGGGCCCGGGTTCGGTCCTGCGCGCCCTTTGTTTGGCCTTGTCGCGTCGGTTCCCGGGCCCTGCCAGGGCGCGTGTGCGGGGCGAAAATGCTCCACGGCCCCGCTGCTCCGCTCGGGTTTGGGAGGGGTATGGTCCTGTGGAGTTTTTGTTTGGTCCTTGCGCGTCGGTCCCAGGGCTCTGCCGGGGCACGCGCGCGGGGTGAAAATGCTCCACTGCTCCGCTCGGGCTTGTGCCTGTGAACCCGGAATGGTCCTGTTGAGCATTTCCTTGCTCCTTGCCCGTGAAGCCCGGGTGTGGTCCTGTGGATCTACAGGTCCCGTGGACCCGCGAAAGGCCAAAGCAAAGGCTCGGGCCTTTGTTTTGGCCTTTCGCGTCGGCTCCTTGGCCCTGCCAGGGCGCGCGCGGGGCGAAAGTGCCCCACTTCACCGCTGGTCCGCTGCGCCCGCGCACCACAGATCCAAACAGCTCGCAAGGCAAGGACCCAACCCCGACGCGCAAGGACCAAACAAAGACTCCACAGGACCAACTGACCGTTTTGTACTGTGAAGCTTTTGATTGGTCCTTGCGCGTCGGGGCTTGGTCCTAGCGGGAAGTCTCTGGAGGAGGGGGATGGGACCTTCAGGATCACGAGCGGCGAACATATCCGCATCCGCGCGGGGCGTCTGCGAGAAAACGCCACGTATCCGCGGCGTCGCGGCCCAGGGGCCCGGCCAGAGCGGACGTGGCGCGGGGAGGGCAGGCCACGGACATTGGCACGCCCCCAAAGGGTACGGACAGAACTGCGCACGATGCCCTCCAACAACAAACGTTGCCCAAAACCGATAACGGCAGCTCTTGGGCAGGCGATCTTCTGTCTCGAGAGGGCAACGTCCTCGGCGGCACGGACAGCGAACGCTGTTCAAAAAGGGCTGGAACTGCTGTCGGGTCTTCGTCACCATTCTTTCCGTGCCCATCTGGCAGGTTCCAGAAACCCTGCACCTGAAAATGTTGGCATCTCTTCGGTCGACTTTTACTTCCGCTGGACTTCCGCCAACTTCTGCCGACCTTCTGTCGCCTTCCGCCGAGGAAGGGATGCCAACTCCTTCGATCCTCGACGGCGAGGCCCTTTCTGGAACGCCTCATCTCGATCCTGCAGAGGAGAGGACGGGGGGGGGGTCAGACCAGGTTCGGCCCGGCCGCCCACGCGGGTTGCGGCCTCGCCCCAGATAACGTCGCGCGCGCCCTGCATTGAGGGGCCCGGGGGAGCAGGAAGCCAAGGGCGCAGGGACACCGATCCTGGGAGCAAGGCGCAGGTCCTGTCGGGGATCCGCGGATCTGACGCGTGAGCCAGATCCATGGATCGGGGAGGGCACCCCCAAATCATGGCGACACTGCCGCCCGTGTTGGTGGCGGAGCGAGCCGATTCTGCATGGAAATGGGATCCGTCGCTAATCCGCTCGCCGTAATCCATGTTTGCGCTTTCTTGATCCTGGGCCCGGCCCGCATCGGTGAGGCGGTCGCCTGACGCCCCGCAGGAGGGGAGCCTCCTCGCGCCGCTGACCCCTCGGCGCCTCACTCGGCCGGCCCGGCCACCTTGCCGAACACAGTGGTGGCCACCTTGGAGGCGGGCGCCGCCCCGCGCCCCTTCCAGATCAGCGGGCCGAGCGCCGCCCGCAACAGGGGCACCATGGCCAGCATGCCCAGCACCGCGAGGACCCTGTAGTACGCTGGGGCCCCGTCCTCGGGGCCCAGGCCACCGGGGCGCGGGAAGGTGGCGAGGCCGTGGACGAGGGCGGCGCCCAGTGCCCAGTCGATGTCGCCGCCGTTGATCTTCCGTTGGATCACCACCTCGACGCCAGGCAGCGTCGGGGCGCCCAGCTGTTGGAGCAACACCACCTGGTAGGACAGGCCGAAGCACGAGTTTGGCCGGTCGGGCTCCTTGCCGGAGTCCATGATGGCCGCCTGCTCTGGCGTCGGCACCAACGCCCTCGAGCAGATCTCTCCTGCCTGCGCGTCCATGGAGGCCAGGCCGCCCGAGATGGGCAGGGCCTCGTTGCTGCGGACGTAGAAGAAGTTCTCGGTGCAGGCAAATTTGCCGCGCAGCGGCAGCTCGCTGGCGTAGTGCCCAGGGGCGCCCTCCTGCCCATCGAAAAGCCTCTCCACGATGCCCTGCTGGCAAGCCTGCCGATCTCCAGAGCCCTCGACCAGGCTATCTCCCGAGTTCCTGTGGTAGCCGACGGGGTAGCAGGGGTCCTTGGCCTGCGAGGTCGGTCCCCTCTCCCGCAGGTGCATCTGTGCGTAATCCTGCCCGAAGCCAATGTAGCTGTGGGCGTACAAGCGGTACTCTCTGCCCGTGGCTGTCGTGAGGACGAAACTGTCGTCCGGGGCGACTGTGTCGGCGCCGCCCACCTGGAAAGACACCTGCGTGGAACCTCCCCCCATCTCGATAACGCCTAGCGAGCCCTCGGCGCGGAGGTCGTCGTCAAAGGTGCCCCTGAGGTAGTTCGCCGCAACCCAGGCGAGCCCCGCCTCCTCCTTCTTAGGAAACCAAGAGGCGCCGATACCGCTACTCCACGGACCTTTCTCGGGATGTGCTCTGACCAGGATTTCGAGGCGAATCCAGCGGTGGCGACGAGGGCCTGCCAGGATGCCCAAGAGGGCGAAAACGAGACAGGGGTTGTGGTATGGGTGCCTTTTCCTCCTCTGACCTTCCCCTTGATGATGTCGGCCCACTCGTCCTCAAACCTGTACCCGCTGCTCGCGAGCGCCTGACGTACCGACTTCAACACCGCGGCGGCGTCCTGATCCCCGACGCTCCGCAGCCCCGCGGTGGCCTTCAGCAGCGCCGGCGTGCGAGCCCGGCGCTCGGCCGGCACGAACTCGTCCGCGAAGTCGAGCAGCTGCCGGATGCTCCGCCCCGCCGCCTCGAAGGTCTGTTCCTTGGCGTAGTTGGACAGCCCTGGCTTCACCTTCTTCGTCTGCGCGTCGCGCACCGAGAGGTCGATCCGGGGCACGTGCGCGCCACGCACAAGCGGCTGCAGAAGAAGGAAAAACTACACTAAAACATATCAACGTTCGGAGGTCCGCGCGGAGTTCTTGGATCTGCGCCGTCTCTGGCGCAGAGCGCGCCAGGGGCAGGGCTCAGCGCAGATCCAACGCATCCGGGCGGACCTCCGCATATTTTGGTTTATGCCATTGTTCCTTCTTCGAGGCTGGAGATTGAAGACATGGATCCGCGTGCCGCTGCTCCCGGCGTCGAACACCAGCACCTGCTCTACTGTGTAATCCACCGCCCCCCGCAGCGCCGGGTTCTCGGCCCGGGCCAGCAGCTGCGCCCGCTGCGCCAGCAGCAGCACCGGCAAACACCAACCGCCGTGCGCCCACCGACACCAGGGCACCATGACTGGGGGAACCGCAAAAGGTACCGAGACCGCCCTCACCTCTCCTGGGCCGCCTCCTGACAAGATTTTCGAGAGCCCAGCCGGGGCGACGAGGGCTCTCCAGGACGAGCAACAGTATCGGTACCTTCTTCTCCTCCTATCCCTCCTTCGAATGGCGCCGAGGCCCGCCCCCTCGAAGGGCGCGCGCGGGCTTCGCAGTGCTGGGAGGGGAGCACAACAGCTCGGGCCGAGATGGTCGCGGCGGGGTGCGCTCCTTGAGCAGGGACCGACGCGGAAGGTTGTGGTCGTAGCCCGGTGCCAGCTGCAGGCTGCGGGCAACCTCCCCATGCCGCCTTGTCCGGCATGGGCCGGAGGCGCGTGCGGAAGGGCCAAAATCGGAACAACTCTGCACAAGAGTGCGGAGCCCGCCCGGGCCCCCGTGCCGCACCGCCCCCATCGTGTCCCTGCCCCGCGTGTGGGGGCAGGGAGGGCCGGGGCCTGGGAATGAACATGAAAAAAGACCCAGGAAGCCGTACCATTCAGCCTCGCCCTCACGAGGAAATGCACCAAGCAAAAAACAACTTAAATAGATATTGCCAGAAACCTGCCCAGCATCCCAAGCTCCACCTCCAAAGCAAGCGGCGCTGGCACGACCAAAAGCACACCTACCCCGAGGACGCGTAATGAGGGATACAGCCGTAGGCGATCCACGTGCCATTCTATGCAACTCCATGGGTGACACAAGTGTGTGTGTACAAGAAAGGCGGACAACAGTCGGGCTCCACAGCGGACGACAGTCGACACTATGAAGGCAGTAGGGCCTGCTCCCAAAAAGAACGGAAGTGAAGAACAGGCCTCAACGATGCTTGCAATAGAAACCTAAGTTAGTGATAGCGGCACAGGAGGGCATGCTTCAAAAGACACGGCTGTAAAGCCCCTCTGGCCAGCAAGGATACCATGCAGAGGAGAAGAGGAAGGACGACGACGACGGCCACGAGGACGACGAGGAGGAAGACGCACCTTGCTGGCCAGACACGCCGGAAGTTAGCCCACTGAGGGCCAGGTGGCATGGTGGACAGGAAAGAATATTTCAGCAAAATGTTAGGAATGCGAGGCTCCGAGTAGCCGCGAGCCTCGCGACCCTGAAGGCCCGTGGAGACCCCCACGAGCCCCGCCCGCACGGCGCAGGTGCCGTCACAGCCGTACGGCTGCGGTACCACCTTGTGGCCGCGGGGCTGTGAGATCGTTAGCCGCTGTCAGTCGCACATGTTCCTGCTGTACGTGCTGATCGCGTTCCTCGTGTCCTCGTGGGACCTCGTAGAGGTGATCTCTCCCAGCGGCAGGGACCGACCGTCCTGGCATTGTTCTCGGCCTACGACGAGATGCTCTAAGATGAACAACGTGACGCTCTAAGAACCAAGACATGTTCTTACAGCGTAGAACCTATGTCTGAAACCAGTGCTGCCTCAGACAGAACTGCTCCAAAAACATTTGGCGCAACAGGTGACGAGGACATTATTTGGTGGGCCTACAGGCAAGTCAGGATGCTTCGCCTCCGCTCGAGACCATGCAGGCGTGGCCCCGCAACCTGGCCGTGGCGAGCGGGCCCCGCATTTGCCGCGGCCGCACGGGGGGGATACGCTGGAGGGCGCCGGCGGCATGCTCGCACGGTCTGCGGGTCCCGCGCCCCGCGCGCAAGTGCCCGCGAGCACGTCGGTGGCAACGACGGCACGTGCGTGGGAGTGAGGTCGAGGTCAGGCCCGTGCGCTGGAACGCAAGCCCATGAAGGTCGAGCCCGTGCGCGGGAGTGATCCGATCGTAGCAGGTGGCATCTCACGTCACGCACTTCTTGCCGTACCTGAGCTGGGCATGGAGGTCGCCAGCTGCGATGCGCTCCTTGAACCGCTGAACCCCCTCGCCCCCGCGCTGGGGGTCTGTCCGAGAGGCGTGCGCCCTCTCCTCTCAAAGGGGGTCACCCTGGGGAGTCGAACTCTCGTACCGCACGAAGATCGACGACGCCTCGGGAGAGGCTGACGCGATAAGGCGCATACAAGCGGAGGCTTCCACCACCACCACCAGGGAGAAGCACCTGGTCAGTTCCTCACCCTGGGGCGATCGTCGACCGTCCTGGGGGCCCGACATGGGAGCCTGGGCGCCGAAGCCGACAAGCAACATTCGGAAACACCCCAAACTCTCGATTGACACGCAGCAGTGGGTATGAAACTGAGCACGATGCCCGACGTCAATACTGTCCGAAATCAAGAACTGCCGCTGGTGGATAGTCAACTGAGTCAACTCTTTGTCTCAAATGGTCCACGCCTGTCGCGGCGCCGACAGCGAACCCAGTTCAAAACGGACAGGAACTGCTGTCAATCTTCGGATTTGTTTTTTTATTTTCCAGTAAGCGTCGTTACGCGGGGCGGGCCCGGGCGCGGGTGCGCTGCGATCGCCACAGTCAGTATGCGCGCGAGCACCAGCATGTGGGAAGGTGGGCCCAAGCCCCAAGGTGGGCCCAAGCCCCTCCCCCAATGTACGATCGTTACCGTTACGTGGGGGGGGCGAGGGCGGGTAACGATCGCTACGCGCTCGCGGACGAACAAAAAAAACAGCGCCAGCGGTTGCGAGGCCGGCGGCGGTGGCGAGGAGCGGCGGCGGCGGCGGCGAGGAGCGTCGGCGGCGGCGGCGAGCGGCGGCGGTGAGCGGCGGCGGTCTCGGCCTCGGCATCGCCGCGCCCGCTGCTCTCGAGGCCCTCGGCCATCGCTGGGCCGCTCCGCGGCGCCGCCCGCAAGGAGAGGCTGCCGGCAAGGGCGCGTGCAGGGAGGCGGCGGTTGGCAGCCCAGACCTCCAGCGAGTCAAAATATGATCCAGCCCTGGGGGACCAAAAATTCGCCGGCCCAACGGGCCAGAGGCGTGGTAAGATCTCCGGTGACTACTTAACAATATTTCTAGTTCGCGCGCGCGGGGCGGCCCCTGCGGGGCCCCGGGCGAAAAACACCCCGGCCGATCCCCGGCTGGGTCTCGGGCGATCCCCAGGGGGGAGGCTATTTTTCGCCACCCCTCACGAGGATCGTGGCCTCCGAGGGGGGGGCTGCAATCGACTTCCCCCCCTCCCGCCCCAAGGGGCCCCCACGAGCCCCCCAAGAGGCCCCAGGGGAGCCCAATACGCCGCCAGGGAGCCCCAAGACGCTCCCAAGAAGCCCCCAAGAAGCCCCCAAGACGGCCCCTAAGAGGCCCCAAATAGTGCTCCAGGGCCGGCAGAATGAGCGAAGCGATTAAATAATACCAATAACACGCCGCACTGGGGGACCCATCAGCGTGTGAGTGTTGAAGAACAGCCAAGCTCTGGGACAAAAAAAAGGAATAACACGCTGGCTGTCAGGGTCCCGACTGCAGCATGTCATTGATGCTCTGTTTACCTCCCGAAGCCCGACGTGTGTTCCGTGTCCTCGGCCTCCTGGGAGGGCGTCTGCAGGGCTCCAGGGCAGCCCAGGAGAATCTGGCTCGGGATGTCTGGCAAGTTCCAAGGAATCGGTCGAGAGGACCGCGGCCCAGAGGCTCAAAATATCGAATCGTCGGAGGTAATGGTGGCAGGAGGAGGGCTGGGGCCAGAGCGGCTGCGGCGCGGTCGGGACGTAGGAAGTACACACAAATACACACTGTCGTACTACTACGACTACGACTACGACTACGACTACGACTACGACTACGACTACGACTACGACTACGACTACGACTACGACTACGACTACGACTACGACTACGACTACTACTACTACTACTACTACTACTACTACTACTACTACTACTACTACTACTACTACTACTACTACTACTACTATTGCTACTACTATTGATGTTACTTCTACTGCTGCTTCCACGACTACTACTACTACTACTACTACTACTACTACTACTGCGACTACTGCGACTACTACTACTACTGCTACTACTACTACTACTACTACTACTACTACTACTACTGCGACTACTCATACTACTGCGACTGCGACTACGACTACGACTACTACCACTACTACTACTACTACTACTACTACTACTACTACTACTACTACTACTACGACTACGACTACTACTACTACTACCACTACTCCCACACATCCCGCGACTACTACTGCCTCTATGGCGACCGCGGCAACGACGACGACTTCTACTACTACCACTTCTCCCGCTACTACTACTACTACTACCACTACTACTACTACTACTACTACTACTACTACTACTACTACTACTACTACTACTACTACTACTACTACTACTACTACTACTACTACTACGACTACTACGACTACGACTACGACTACGACTACTACTACTACGACTGCGACTACGACTACTACGACTACTACGACTACTACGGCTACTACGACTACTACCACTACTACTACTACTACTACTACTACTACTACGACTACTACTACTACTACTACAACTACTACTACTTCTACTGCTACTACTACTATTACTATTCTACTATGGCTACGACTACTACTACGACTACTACGACTACTACGACGACGACGGCGACGACTACGACTACTACTACTACTACTACTACTACTACTACTACTACTACTACTACTACTACTACTACTACTACTACTACTACTACTACTACTACTACTACTACTACTACTACTACTACTACTACTACTACTACTACTACTATATACTACTACTACTACTACTACTACTACTACTACTACTACGGCTACTACTACTACTACTTCTACTACTACTACTACTACTACTACGACTACGACTACGACTACGACGACTACTACTACTACTACTACTACTACTATTGCTACCACGACGATGACTACGACGACGATGACTACTACAGCTACTGCTGCCACGAATGCGAATGCAAAGGCTAATCCTAAGACGAGTGCGGGTGCGAACGCTGATGCTCATACCTACGCACATGTGTATGCACATGGTCGAACCAATACGTCTACTAAACGACTACTAATACTGTTCCGATTACTTCAGCTACGCCTAAGACTGATACGAGAACTAGTACGACGAAACATACCAGCGCGCATACGACCGCGACGACGACTAGTACCACTACTACTACGGCTACAACTGCTACCCGTACTACTAGAAGTTCCAGCTTTCCAACTCCTACCAAGAATACGCACAGACATGCGAATGGTACTGCAATGGATGCAGACAAGTAGACGAATCCACACTAGGCGACTCATACGGAGACACATGCGACTACGACTGCGAACTCGACTACTAGATTGAGCACTACTTATACCACCACTGTCACCACTACCACTGGCACTCGCCCTAGCACTACCACTACTACGACTACTGATACGACGACAACGGCGACGACGACGACGACTACTACTACTACTGCTGCTGCTACTACCAATACTACTACACTGCTACTACTACGACTACTCTGACTACGACTACTACTACTACTACCACTACTACTACTACTACTACTACTACTACTACTACTACTGCTTCTACTACTACTACTACTACGGCTACTGCTACCACGACTACGACGACGACGACGACGACGACGACTACTACCACTTTTACTGCCACCACAACCACTACTTCTGCTACTAGTAGTAGTACTACTACTAGTACCAGTACTAGTACTACTACTACTACCACTACTACTACTACCACTACTACTACTACTACTACGACTACTACTACTACTACTATTACTAGTACTATTACTACTACTACGACTACTATTACTAGTACTATTACGACGACAACGGCGACGACGACGACGACTACTACTACTACTGCTGCTGCTACTACCAATACTACTACACTGCTACTACTACGACTACTCTGACTACGACTACTACTACCACTACTACTACTACTACCACTACTACGACGACTACTACTACTACTACTACTACTACCACTACACCTACTACTACTACTACTACTACTACTACTACTACTACTACTATTACTAGTACTATTACGACTACCGCTACGACTACGACTACGGCCACGACTGCGACAACAGTAACAGCAACAACAACAACAACAACTACTACTACTACTACGAGTACTAGTACTAGTACTAGTAGTACTAGTACTACTACTACCACTGCTGCTACTACAATCACTACTAGTAGTAGTAGTAGGAGTAGGAGTAGGAGTAGTAGTAGTAGTAGTAGTAGTAGTAATAGTAGTAGTAGTAGTAGTAGTAGTCGTCGTCGTCGTCGTCGTCGCCGCCGTCGTCGTCGTCGTCGTCGTCGTCGTACTACTACTACTACTACTACTACTACTACTACTACTACTACTGCTACAACAACAATAACAGCAACAGCTACTACTGCTACTACTACTACTACTACTACTGCTGCTACTACTACTACTGCTACTACCATTGCCACTGCTACTACCACTACGTGATCTTTTTTCTCATTATGCTTCGACTGCCCATACTACGTATATCCAAACATACTCTGACAAACAACGAGAGACAACGGAAGACGACGCGAGACGCTGCCTCCTCCTGGCGAATCCAACACCACCGGCGACTCTTTCTCATCACCAAATCCCACCCGAAATTCCGCAGCGACCTTCTTACGAATGTTGACTCGTGCGCACAACGAGAAACTCGCCACCCTGACTGTACGGAGTGGGCGTGGTAGAATGCTCTTCTGCTGTCTGGCAAGGTTTTGTATTTTTCAGGACGACCGCCCCCCCCCGCCTGCTCGCACGCCGCCCTGAAAGACCGCCCCCCCTCCCTGAATATGCTCTCCTGCGCCCCCGTTGGTCTGCGGACAGCCCCAGACGGCCAAATTGCCAAGACGGCCCAGGATGTCCACCGCTCAAGAGGCTCCTAAGACGGCCTCAAGACAACCCAGGAGGCATCCGAGACGGCTCCAAGAGGCCCTCCAGGAGAGCCTGGGCAGGCAAAAACCATTGGTTTCTCCCAAGTGTTCGAAGGACTGAGGTTCTCGCCTGTTTGGGTCTGCAACCGCTCAAGATGGCCCAAGATGCCTCCAAGGAAGCTCTAAGACCAAGGGGCCCCCAAGAGCCCCCCGAGAGAGACCAAGAGACCCCCAAGAAGCACCCAGACGCCCCAAAGGGCTCAAACAACCGCCAGGAGGCCCCTAAGAAAACCCATGAGGCCTCCGAGGCCTCCACGGCGCCCCAAGAGGCCCCCTTGAACCACCAGGAGCCCCCAAGACGCCCCAAGAGGCCCCCAAGGTACCCACCCCGAGAGACATCCCACGAGACTCCGAAAGGAATCCAAGAAGCCGCTGGCCCGTGGAGCTCCCCGAGCTCTACAAGTGTTGCCGCGCTCCCTCGATCTAGGTAGCTCCCCTGGGCATCGTTCCTGGATATGCTGGTGGGGATGCGCGAAATAATAAGAATCCGAACTCCTCCCTGAAACGGTGTTGCAGCACGGTGGCGGGGTTTGCATCAAGCATCTGGATACACTTGCAGCTCGCGCGGGAGACTGGCCCACGCGCTGCTTCCACCTCCGAAGTTCTGCTTTGTGGGAGGGGGGGCGGGCTTGCGGAGGAGGCCGCTTGAGGCCCCCAAGGAGGGCCGGAAACTTCCAATTGCCTAAACTCGGAATCGATTGCAGAGGACGCCGCCTGAAAGGAACACAGAGTCTCTTCCGAGGCCCGCCCACGCTCCAGGCACAAAGAAAACACGACTCGCGACGGACAGAACTCAAGGGCACCATCGATCCTGCAAGGTCGACACTGCGTACAGCTG